ACCAAAAGACAAATTAAGTATGTCTTGACAATATTAGACAATTGCAAGATGATGGGTGCTGTTGAAATTGGGGAAATAAGCAAAGAAAAGCTAGACACACTCTTTAATCGCCTAGAGTAGGCCTAACTAGTCGAGTAGTAGTACTGTAGTAGTAGTAGGCCTAGTATCAAAGATCGTATAGCGCCGCTACAGGCTAGGAAGTAGTACTTTTTTAGGCCTCGTAGAATCTATGTATGAGGTATATAAAACAAATATTGACTGCTCTACTGTATATACGGTCTCCACATCACCTTGGGGCAATAGATTTCACCATTCCCCTCATGAGCAGTCAGTATTTGTATACTGTACCACCTTAACCGACTAAATTATGCTGCTCATTCTTTATCTGCCATTTTATTTCCATAACTTCAGTTAGCATTGCTTGCCTTTTTCATCTAAATATTTTCCATTAAATATACCTCAACAGATAAACCTAAATCAGAAATAGAACTTGATATACTATAATAGAACATTTGCGTCATCACAGACAGTAATAAACACGCAAGTTTAGGACATTAATCAGTTATCATCGTTAATGATGCCATAATGTTCCTAGAAGCGTAAGCTTAATCATTCGCTTGCGATTCTGTATCAGTACAATAATTTAACCATCAGTTTAATGTTCCACGTGTACCCGAGCATTATATTATACTGTTCTGATACTAAACTATATCATAATGAAAAATTGTGCACATGCACTTCGAGATACGAAAATATGAGTTCCGGTTAAATATACTGCACACAGGCTAAACAAATTGTAAAAATACTAAATTTCATATTTGATTTGCTTAATTTGTATTTAATAAGTTATTAACGTGGGGAGAGAAGGCAGATTGGCACAGCGATGTCCAATATGTGGTTTGTAAACTCAAGCTCAGATAAAAACCACAAACAGACCATTCATGGCACCTACGCTAAGCCTGGTTTTCTTAAATTTCTTTTTTTATTCACTTCCATTGCTAAAGATTACAAAAAAAGAAGCAAAATAAGAAAAAGAAATGTATGAACGTACCCATCTTTAAAATGCATTGATTAGCATGAGCTTCCATTTTTTAATGTATTTGTCTATTTCTAGCAATAATTTTTTAAGTTTCAGTTGAATAGATCCATTTTTTTAATATTGAAATTTAATTGTATTTCTTGGATCTTGCATCTGTAAATATATCTTTTGACAAGAAGTAAAATTATATTTAAAATAAAAGGAATCTTTACGGTAATTATATCAAAACACACTTCCACATAGGTTATCATAACACTAATATTTATTAAATTGTTTTAAACCAGTTAAACACGCGACCGACCAATCAGCATCACCGAAAGCTGTTGGAGATAGCTTGTAGCAACTGTATGGAAACAAAGCTTTAGATAGGCCTACTCCAGCATGCATTGTTCAGATTCATGGCATAAATATAAATAAAAAGTAACCCCTTTAACTTTATTAAACTAGAAGTGACTTTGTTTGGGGTAAATTCAATTAAATAATAATAATAATTTAAAAAAAAATCAACTTACTGTACAATTTAAAAATATACTATATCAGAAAGACTTTACAGTACAGAAAAACATCATGAGAGTACTGTATTCATAGACATAAAATAAAATTTAACATAACATTTAAATGTTGATAAGTAAAATTATTACAAAGTAATAACCAATTAAAACAAAATTACACCAGATTGATCACACTACTGAATTATGAAATGTCTTAATTGCTGATACAAAAAAAAAAAAAATTGCCAAAAGCATTTCTTAAATTGCTACTGTATCAGTGCTAAACAGGTGTTCAATAAATACTAATTAATTTGTTAGCTCTGAAAAATTGTGACACAAGATGGTTGCTGAATTATAGGTTATGGAAACTGGAGTTAAAAATATTAACAACAAAATTCCATCTCTGCATGACACACCAAACGCCAGCGAAGAAGAAGTATCAACCGTGAACTTGAACTCAATCCGAGTGCTTTTATTGTGACGGATTTCATTAGATATAATGTAATTGGAACACATTCCCTATTTCAACCATTTCTATTTTTGAATTCCGATTCCACTTAGTAGCCTTTTAGTTGAGGCGTGCTTTTGAATAAATCTGTATTTCTATGTTTTTCCCCATTAATTTATCTTCATCGTTTGAAATGCAAGCCAAAAAAAAAAATCAAAAAAAAAAATCATGAATTGATATCTTCTACATAAAAAAAGCCATTATTAACCAAGTGATTTTACCTCTCATCTATTATGATCAGCCACAGTATCATATCACTTGAAATGTCTGGCAAAATCTAAATTAAAAATATTTTCTAAAGATCTTTTTACTTGAAAAAATGCATCCTATATAAGTACTAACATATTTTATTACTGTACTTCCCTATAAATGCATGTCATATCAAACAATTATTCAATTTAGAATTGTTATAAAAAATAAAAATATAATTTTTTTGAAATATCACAATGGCATTCAGAATACTGTCAACTACAATTTTACACTTTTGTCACTACGTGTGTGTAGAAGATATGAAATAAAAAAATTATATTTTCACAGCCTACAATTACTGTATATTGAAAATGCTTCGAAATATTTACTTTTTTGTACTTCTAAAATGTATAGGATTAAAAACCTCAAATACCATCAAAATTGTAATAATTCAGCCTTGAAAATATGTTAGTGCACGTTCACAAAAAGAAGAAATTTTTAGTAATTACCATGTTTGCTAGAAAGCTTACAAAACAATCTGAATAATTTCATATCTTGCTTTTCTATATTTTGCTGTTTTTTTACCGAGTGTAAAATTTCATCAAAAGTCTGTGTCAAGATTTGAATCAACCGTAGACAATAAAAAAGAAATGTGTAGCGACTATGTGCAATAAAAATTGTGTGCACCAGTGTGTGACCATTATAATAACTTGGCATTGAGCCAACAAAGAAATTATCTTTTATAGCAGGACACTGGGTGGGATGAATGATGCCATGATGTATAGAAGGATGGGATGTAGCGATGATGGAAGGATTAAGGGATGGATGGATGGATGAAGGGATAGATGGATAAAGGAATGAATGGATGTAAGGTAAATGGAAGTAGAAATAGATGTTGGCTGCAGATAATGATAATAATACAATAACAAATACTTATAGCGCCAATTTAGAATTTATCGAAGGCGCTAAGTAAGGAAATAAGTCAAGTTAAAATTCCTATAAGTTTGTTTTAGATATTTCTTAAAAGAAAGCAAATTAAGTGAATCACAAACTGAAAGAGCCATGTAAAAAGGGGCTTGAAAAGAAAAGGCACATTGACCATAAGTTTTTGTTTTGCACTTACGAGATGGAACCGTCTTCCGGATGTAGGGATAAATGGATGGATTCGTGGGTTGAAGGAGGGAAGGTTGAATGGATAGAAGCTTCTATTTGTTTTATATGGAACATTTCACATACAGTTCAGGATTATGATTGATCATTTATGAAGATAATTATAAGGATGATGAAAAATATTGACAACAATGACGATGAAAAAGATGAAATTGAATGTTGGTAATTATATTCATAAAAAAAAAGAAAGTCAACACTATATAAGCTGTTTGCCTATTGGACACAGACAAGTGGCTACCTCAAATCATTCAAAGCCTTGTTACCATTGCAACAGAAAAACAGTTCTAACTATACTTTGTTTATGACACAGAATTGCAAAAATCATAATGTCTAGCAATGAAAAGCGTTAATGGTGATGACAGCCATTATTCTTATTTTTTTCTCTCCATTTGACAGTTCAATTTTTACTTGAGGAAAGTGAGCTTGCAAACACGTTCACTTTAATTATGTGCATGAATGACTATGAAAGAAATCGATGTGTGTCGGCTGTATCACACATTGGTGATACATTGTAACGTAAATGTTATTGATTAAAAATCTTCGTTCTGAACACTAACAAACACTTCATTATAAATAATAAAGCTCTGGAGATGTATAACTGAATATGTCATAAAGGCTATATTTCGTAACACACAGTCCAATGCTTTAGGATTTTTTTATCCTACATAATATCCATTTATTAATGAAAATGAGGTGTAATCGTGTACTATATAGTATTGTATAGTATTGATGACTTGCACAGAAAGTAGATCGCTAAAGGTACTAAAAATAACATAGTATTAAGTAATGGAGGCTATAAACTAAAAAGGCTTGAAGGGCATCAATGACCTGAGTAGTTAGAATGTTAACAGTGTTAGTGCGCAAAGACAAACTTTTGGCCTGATGCGTCAAGAGCTCCCTCTCAGTACGGAAACTTAATGAATAAAGACTGAAAACTTTTGTCGCCAATGTCTATAGCAATAGTTAATTGATAAACACTTCTTTCACATTCAACTGCAAGCATGCTCACTGACTACACTTGGTACAACAATGGAGGTACGGTACAACTATGCAACAAACAAAAGCTCTGACCAAACTATCAAATTTTATGCGACAAATTTCAGATGTGCCCATATACGGGCATGATGATGTGATACACCCAAATATGGGCATATCTCATTTATTTTAATGTGTTCTTGAATTAGGCAGAAACCGGAATACGTGCAAATATACATACTACAACGATGGTACAGTACGCTCAATATCAGCAATTTATTTTTATGAATGGCTGTTGTTTTTGTAGGATATACAGGTACTGTACAGCAACAGGAGTATAATTTGCAGAACGTCTATTGGAAGGTATGTAAAGTGCACTGGCTTAAATTAAGAGACACTCTAACTTGACTATGCTTGAAAACTAGCTAATTAATAAACAGAAATTATTGACTTAACCAATAACTAAACAACACTCATTATTCAAAAATCAATTGATTAAATTATATCAACTTAAGTGGTCAAACTCTATAATTTTAAAGAGTATCTAACTTATCGATCACCTGTTACTCAGTAATGACTAATGAAGATGGTATACAAGGGTGTGAATTGAATGACAAAATTGACTTACCTGAGCCCACAGTTTCCTTGAGGTGGTACCGTTGCTTGATAATATCATATTCTGACGATCCCATTTTTGGTTTTACAATAACTTGAGGGGCCTCACGCACACCATTCACTTCAATTTCAGGTGGCTTTAAACTGCAAAGTTAAAGATAGAGAATATATAATTTCCTTTTTTCTTAAATGTCAAAAATATGATAAAATAAAAACCAACAATGATTTTGTGTCACAAGTTAAGATTTCTGATGCATCAAAAAAAAAAAAATAAATAAATGAATTTCGGTTTTGGAAATGTATTAAATGTACCCTGTTGTTCAAATGACAATAAAGAATATCGTATCGTATCGTATATTCATACCATATTTGCAATTAGTGTGATTCATTCCAGATGATAAAACAGAAATTGAAATATATTAATTAAACCACGTCTGTATCTTTTTCCATAATGTATAAAAAAAGAGAGAAGAGCATTTGATTGCATAACGACAGATCTAGAATGCAAGATGGTCAGTTTTGGTTGTCTTCTTAATGGTAGTCTGGGATGAATCTCAGTTATGCAGAACATCGGTCACAAATGGGTAAATCCATCCTAGAGCCACACTGACATTATGACCGAAGGCCTCTTAATGTGGACTGTTACGAGAACCTAATTGTTCTGACCCTCTACCAACCGAGCTACAATAACAACTTAGCAATGCTTCTCCTCAGAATACATAACCAACAATTCTAAACTCAAAGTGAATAGAGCATCATCATATTTGTCAAAATATCACAAGGAAATGAATTCGTAAATTCATATGAACTAGAATTACTTGCTGGAAATCTAAAGAGAAAAAAAACACTTATTCAAGTACAGGAAATCTTCCAAAATGTGTAATAACCTGATCTTAAATTTCAAAGAATTGCATTTTAACAATTTTAATGGGTTATCTACCTACTGTATTCATCATCATTTTCAAGCGAGTACAAAACCTTCTCTTTCCTCTCAACCTCATAAATTAATATAAGATGAATTACAATTACTTGCAGGAAATCCAAAGAGAAAAAAAACAAAACACTTATTCAAGTACAGGAAATCTTCCAAAATGTGTAATAACCTGACCTTAAATTTCATAGAATTGCATAACAATTTTAATTGGTTATCTACGTATCTACTCTATTCATCATCATTTTCAAGCAAGTACAAAAACCTTTTCTTTCCTCTCAACTTCCTCTGACAAAAAATAGGCTCCTGATTGGAGCATGGGTATGCAGTAGAAATTAGGTTAAAATACTCTGAACATAGCTTCCATTATCGGACAAGGTGCTATCACTGCCATTGGTCATCTGTAAAAACCTAGGACCAATTACTCCCTCCATTTTACGGAAAAACTCCACTACCACAGCATAGACTATATCTCTTATACACATCTAGATGTGTATAAGAGACAGATCCTACATCAGTACTATGTATTGAAAGTGTATATTCAGTATAAAGAAAGAATAAATAAATAAATAAATAAATAAATAAATAAATAAATATATGTGTAGTATTCACATGGTGTCCTTTAAATACACAGCATATAAATATATTCTATCCAATACCAAAGATTATTTAAATCATCTTGATAAATGTTTAAGTGTCGTTCAAACAAATATTGAAACGGAAGCCATAGAGTTTTCAGATGCCACGGATAAACCATGAGATGTTTATTCACGATTATCTCGGCAGACATGAAAGACAGGCTTTGGCAAGACCTGAAGTAGAGAGCAGAAGGGATTTTTAAATCGTTATTATTTTTCAACAACACAGACATTGATAATATAGTTTAGAATATTATGAAGTCATAATCTGTATTGATAGCAGCCTTATATGAAATATTGTTCCTGGGAAGATTATACTGTTTCCTTTATTTTGTATTTTAGTGTACATATGACAAATAATATTTGCAGTAGACTGGTAATCTTATAATAATATTTGTAATGGATTTTGACTCTGGTTACATATAGCTTTTGATCAGTAGTTAGTCCCTAGTGGGTTATAGCCACCATCATTAGTACTTGATAGTGAAAAACAATCCAAGCATGATAAACATATTGAAGAAAAACTGTCATTACAAAACATATTTTAAGTTATGACAACCTCAAATGTGTATACATTAAGCTGTTTATTGTTTTATGACTAAACAGTCCAAGTCATTACTTGTCAAATGACATGTTGTTTAATGAAGCAAGGGTACAATAAAATAAATTATATTCATTTGAATTCAAGTTTATTTATGAAGGAAAATAATGTAAATTACAGTAGATTGTTTCTACCGAAACTATCTGAGATAATTAAAATTCACTGGCCAATGAAAATATTATACAATACCACAGTTTGTTCCAATCATGGTTGAAGGCAAAAAGAAGAATAGCACACAATTTAAAGAAAGGTCCCAAAAGATAATGCATTATTTATTTGTGACAAAGACAAGCCAACAGTCACTTGTCGCAAAAATAAATTTTTAGTTTTTAATACAGCGTTAAAGAGTAAAATGAGAGATATAAAATGGCAAAAGAATCATTTAAACCTGATATTTCGTTATGAAGTTACAAGAGTTTAAACATACAGCTGTTTAAAGAACAATACAGGGGTGGATCCAGAATTTTTCAAATGGGGTTCACAACAGATTCGGAATAGATAGTCAGTATCATATAACATTAATATGCACTGAAATTTTCAAAATTTTGTGTCAAAACGGGAAGGGGGGGGGAGCCCCCTAATGGATCAACCCCTGCAATATTTGAGAAATCAACCTTCAAAGTTTTTCTTTAATTAGGCAGAAACCATCACCAAATCGTGAAAAATTGTTGTTTTAACATTTAAAATGGGAAAATTAACATAAAGTGATGAATTTTATACAAACAACAATAATTCAAAAACATGCTTGGTTTATATAGTAGTTTATGCCATTTAATACCAGTTACTGTTATACACTCCATGATACACACTGATGTTAGTGTGGCCCTATTTATTGTTTAATATTAGTAATTCGCAAAATTTATAGCATTCATTTTGAAAAGAAGCCCCCCCCCCCTTCCTCTTTACTTGGCAAAAGTAGCCTCAAAAAGAAGCCCATCTTGAAAAGAAGTCCATCTAAAGTTCGCAAAAAAAAAAAGAAAAAAAAAAAGAATATGCCCATGGTTTCAATTCAAGGTTTTACAGTATTTTGGCCTACAGAACCTGGTATTCTGCTGTCAAACATTACTCTAAAGCTGTGATGTCCACACAATCAAATTTTAATGGGAAAAAAAGTGATATGCCCATATTTGGGTATATGCGACATTATCATGTCCATATATGGGCACTTGACACAACTTTGTCACAGAAAATTTGATAGGTAGTTTAAACAGAGCTTTGAATTTTTAATACCATCAAATGATACATAAGACCATATTTTATCGTAGTAATAGTATGATAGCGTAATGGATGTCTCCATTCAACTATGACCACACACTCATTAGGTTTCAGTCCACACAGCCCGAGCGCTGACATATTGCCATAAATCCATCACTCAAAGTTAATGCCAACACAACTGTACTGCTAAATGGTTCTTCAATGGGAGGAATAATCACTAAGATGATATAAACGAATGTAAACAATACACGAAAGATTGTGGCGTACACAGTTGGCTTTTCATGTCCAGTGCATTTACAGCGCACGACAAGCCCAATATAAACTGCTAATCGCGTTGTCATGATGACCGTCGCCAAAGAAACACCAATTGTGATGAATTGTGACGAAGGACCCACAGGGCAAATTGAATATGGAAATTTCTCATTAATAAGCATGTGTTTGGGATGACAATATCTCTATGAATCATTATGAATATTTCATGAGAAAACATTAACAATGACGTCATGGGAGGGTGGTCTGTGACTCATCCATTGTTTTCACAAAATAAACACAAACATTATTAATAATTTGTGTCAATTAAAATTGATTTTCTTCCTAGAAGGTTGGACCACCACAACAAAATATGAATTACTTATAGGTTGGATTCCGATATCTTTCAATAAAAAAAAAATGAAAATTAGAGTAAATAAACTATACATTAAGTAAGATTACAAAATATTTAGATATTTAAGAAATTATACCATGCCATAATCATTTTGAATATTGTTTTTAATGATTTTTTTTATCAAACAATTTCATGGTTGAAAAAAATGTCTTATAAGCAACCATTTCCAATATTATAGCATTAATTTTGATATGTTATTATTATTTTTTTTTTTTAGTTTTTTTTTGTTCAGGTGGCTATAAAACTAGAACAGGTTAAGATTCAGTTGATTTCATCTACGCCTATTGTATATTTCATGTTTTCAACTGAACTGAATAAAATTTTATTTTTTGCATGCCTGTAAAATACCAAGGGTTAAAAAAATGACAAAAAAACCAATGTTTACGGAAAATACATACTTTTACGTACATGATTGACTGACTAAAAATAAAATATCTAAATCTAATAATATCTAAAGGTAAACAACTAAAGTACAATATTTGTAAAAACAATACCTATTTATAGAAGGTGATAAGTAGATTTTATACGTCAAGATATATATTTTCAAATCCATTAGTAGGTCGATAGTTCAAAGTCTCTTCATAAAAAAAATATATTTACAAGCGAAGTACAGAAAAATAAAGGATCCCTTGATTAAATAACAGCAAGCAAACGCAGTATAAAAACATCAGTGTTTTTTTCAGTTTCATCCTTTAATGGAAAAAAAACTGTGTTAACATTGCCGACCACACATTATTATTATTAATATTAATTGTCAATTTATATAGATGGCGCATAATGTAAAATACCTCTATGCACTTTACAGCAGGGAGTGGGATAAATCAAAATCTAAATATAACACACATCAAGGGCTAAATATAACAATATAATACAATATATTTTCATCCCACACAGGCATTTCAAAAATAACTAGCTGATTAAAATATGATACTTTGAGTGCTACCTACTACCTGTGTTATAGTTTGACTGATGGTACAGCTGAAATTAAAATGCAGGTTTGCATCTCACCGAAGTCAGTACAAAAAGAAACTGGGTTGGTAGTGAATAAAAAAGTGGATTGTTTTTTTTGGTTTTTTTTTTCAAAAATAACTAGTCAATTTAATAGAATATGAATATCTAACACTTTTCAGTGTTATAGTAAGTTTAACTATGGTGTTGCATAATTTTGAAAAAGCTGGCCTGCATAGCACTGCAGTAAGTACAAAAAGAACTGGGTTGGTAGTAAATAAAAATGATGATTGTTTCTTTTTTTTTTGTTTTTCAAAAATAACTAGCCAATTAGAACATGAATAGCTAACACTTTTGAATGCCATCTTCAAGTATTACACTAATTTATAAGGTGCTGTGTAATGCAGACATTTAAAACAACTGGTTTGGCAGTAATTAAAAACAAGGATTGTTTTTTCCCTAAAAATAACTAGCCAATTAGAAAATGAATCATTTTGTCATTTTGTCTGCCACCTACGAGCAATATTATAGTGGGTGTGATGATGCATCTAAAATTAAAATGCTGGTCTGCATACCACTACATTCAGCGCAAAAGGAACTAGTTTAGAATTAAACAAAACAAAGACTGCTTTTTATAACATGAATATTTAATACTTTAAACTGCCATCTACGAGCAGTGTTACAATGGGTGTATATAAACTGATGTGCTCTATTAATTAATAAAATGCTGGTCTGCATTTATACCATGGCAGTCGGTGCAAAAATAACTAGATTCGCAATAAAAAATGAAGGTTGCCTTTTGCTGGGGCGGATGCACGATTTGGCAGTAGGGGAGATGTAAGATTCCACACCACCTCATCCCCATTATGGTTAGGCTGAGGTAGGAAAATTTTGAGAATATGGACCTTTAGGTGCCCAGAAATTGCACACCCGTACCTTAAAAATCTTTCCGGTATTCCTATTGACAATATAATACAAATATTTTTCATAATACAATTTAGAGGAGTGTGATTGCACCGTCGGCACACTCCCTGTATCCACCCCCCTGCTTTTTCATTCCATAATTTTAAACTTCTTCATGAAATTTTGTTCGGAACCTCCTCACCAACCATGGTGAGGTTGAGGTAGTTAATCAATCTGAAAAATTCTGTTACTGGGACTTTCCATTTCGAATTCATCCGCCACTGCAACAGTAGTAGTGGTGAGTTGAATGGAAAAGCGGTTATAAGGTAGGACCAACCAGCAACGTACAGCTATAATATCAGTGCTGGTTCGAACGACATACTTGTCTATGGTTCTGGTGGTGGAACAAGTCATCTCGGATAATGACTAAAAAGGTCCAGTGTACACAATTTGGATCATGTGCATTTAAAAAAAGCCATTACAACTTTCGAGATGATTATGGCCGGGATACCTCGATGTTATTAGTTTAAACAGCCCCTATTGTAGATAGACTGAGAGTAGCTGACCAGCACCTGTTTACTGGGCAGCTCAGACACGTAGAGACCCTTGGGGAGAGGCAACTGTTACTGTACAAGTTAGACCACACCTTGAGACTTCAAGACTTTGGTATAAAGCACATATATCCAACTATGTTACATTATTTGAAATGTTTTACTTTAATAATAATAGTCTTTTATAGCGCATAACAATAAATTTGCCTGTATGCACTTAACATGTTGCAACTAAAATGATTTTTTTTTTTTTTTTTAAGTTCACACTACTAGTAAAGACAATAGTACTGTAAGAGCACTATGCAGACCAAGTCAATCTTACAATAGTGGGGCTCTTTTATTACTGAGTAGTGGCTTCAAAAAAGTTCAGACAGGGATGTCAGCCCTTCGCGCGTTTCCTGAATAAGGAGTCGCAAAGTACCGTACCCATTCAAAGTCTTGTTGGACCCCCTTCGAACTTAAATTAAAAATACAACAGAAAGTTTAAAAAGTACTTACAAGACAGTATTCATTAGCAGGTTATGATATAACATCTTTAGAATAACTTGTTCCGCTCCTTTGTTGTTTTATCAATAAAATCAATAAATTTATATAAATAGATTAAACTATATATAATATAAAGACAGACTTATGATAAATCCAACTATCAGTCTTTCCACTCTGGTGATGTAGTTCTGTCTTAAATACAATTTGTGATTCAGGTCTAAAGCCTATGAGCTGGAATCTTGTTAAATGTCATCCCTGCTCGCTACTCTACACTTCGATCCCATTGGTAGGTAATGACACATGCTTCATGAAGCACACCAATCAAATTGCAGCTTTCTTAATTGGACTGGCTGTGTGTACTGTAACAGCCCTCCCACGTGCGCAAGTTTAGCAGCATTCACATGGCTTGAAATATTAGCAGAGTAAAAACATGCCATCAAAACATACTAATTACATTTCTATATCAATATTTGTGATAAATCCAACTGGTATCAGTCTTTCCATTCAGGTGATGCAGTTCTGTCTTTCAGGTCTAAAACCTAGAGCTGAAATCCTGTGAAATGTAATAAAAGAGCCCCTTTTCTCCCTTTTATGTATTTTTCTCTTCTTTTTGACTTTAAATTTCCTTTTAATTGCACCTTCCTCTTCATTTCTCTCTAATTTTCTGGAAAGTGCATAGAGGCTCTATCAGTATGCGCTATACAAGCACAATGAATAATAATAATAATAATAATAATAATAATAATAATAATAATAATAATGTACTAGTACTAGTAGCATACTAGAAGAAAACATAGAATTTTTTAATTTTTTATTTGAACCACACCTAATGAGTGTGATCCATCCAGCAGAACTGATCATTAGGGACCCTCAACATGTAACAAAACAAATTACTGAAAACATGTTAACTACCAATTTAAATTAGAATACAGTATAAAATATAAAACATAAATCGAACATAACAACTTAAAATTGAAATAACTAAAAATATAATACGCAGATTATTGCAACAGCCATAAAAATTAAGTAAGAAATTAGATAAAGCTAAATAATGAATCTTTTCATTAAGAAAATATAGTAAACATTTAGCATCAAACAAAATAAACACAGAATAAGCACAACATATAGGCAACAATACTTTGTATATCCAACTTCCACTCATGGTTCAAGTAATCAACTCTGATACAGTATGTGTGCAAATGTTAAGTTGAGCTTATACAAATTGCATTTAAAAATTATGTAATCTTTTCATTTAAATGTTAGTACCAGTAGAAAATAAAGAATACTGTATGTAATTAACATAGAAGATAATATTTAATGAATGTAGGCCTACTATATGGCCTATAATGCATTTCTGTTTTTGATCATCATTAAACCTAAATGAAAAAAATTGTTTTCATTTCTTTTAGTTTAAAAAAACATATTAAACAGAACAATTCCAAGTTGAAAAAAATGTCTTCAGTAGTCTAATACGGTTTTATAGTAATTCATGCTTTGCATTCATCTTGAGAAGCCCCCCCAACTTTAGGCAATTTTTTTTTTATACCTTGTTTAGTGAACCCGTCATCTGCCAATAATTATTTTGTATAAAAATAAAATTAAATTTTTGGCCAATTCGCGTCCCCATTGTCACAATAAAATTTCAGAACAAAATATTTATCTTTTCTTTATTTCTCTTGCTGTTGCCTTGAAATCTCCAAAAATAAGTTATATTTCTTCCTAATTATATAAATTTAAAGCATTTAATCATCCCATTACTACACTGTTTACATTCACCAATAACATTTTATTTTTACTTTCTCCTCCACCTGAATGTCTTAGCAAAAATAATTTGCTAAATAAGAAAATAAAATTTTATTTTTATTTTTTTTTCACAAAAAGAAGCCCTTCTAGAAAAAAGGTCCATTCAAGGGTCCTAAAAAAAAAAGTCCAGGCCTTTTCTATTCAAAGTTTTATGATATCACTACAATTTTTAACATATGGATGGTAATTGACTTTTAAAATTGATTATTGTTAATCAAAAAATGTATGGAACAAAGTTATCAAGACTTGCCTTAGTTTGCAAAAAGTATTCCTGAAAAGAAGCCATTCTCGAAGAGGTCCATTCAAGGGTACTAAAAATGAAGCCCAGCGCTTTTCTATTGAAAGTTTTATGATACACTACAATTTTTAACATATTGATGGTAATTGTTAAAATTGATTATTGTACATCAAAAGAACTGATGGCACAAAGTCAACCAATAGAGGTCATAATTTACATGGAGGTATAAAAATATTATTAAAACTTCTATACCATGATTATATACAGTACACACCGAGTGCAAGGTTATAGTATACAGTAAATAAATTCCTTTTCCTAGGAATTGCAGGGTGGATTTGGGAAGGGGGCTTAGCCAGCCGCCTCCCGCCTCCTTTTGGAAAGTAAAAAAAAAGTAAGAAAAAGAAATAACTTATCGCTCAAAACACCTCAGAGGTTATTTTCGAGCATCTACAAAAAAAAAAAAAAAAAAATTGCAGGGGCATGTCCCCGGTCCCCGTAGGGCACTGCTGTCTCGAATTGCCCCACTTTTAGCCCTCTTCGGACATCTATGGATTCGCACCTGTGTTGCCCCCACAAAACAGCAGGGTAAGCATCTGTAAATTGTGGGACATATACCGGTACTTCGGAAAGTTCTAGTGAACTACCGTATTTGAGGTATTTTACAATTTGTTTTTTGTGTAAATTAAAGCTAAAACAATAAAATATTTTAGAATCATTGTTAAATTTTTTCTTTATCAGATGCTTTCTTGCTAAGATCGTGCCAAGGGCTAGCTGGCTAAAATGAAATCATAGGCCGATTGCCAAGGATAACGGTAAATTGTCATTATTACGGATGAACTACCAAGGCGTCACGGATGACGTTCAAACTATAACTGTACAATGACACTTCAGGGGCATGGGGACATATTCAGATATTGGCATAAATATCTCCAAATATCAATTATGTAATGGATAGTTTGTAACAAAATATTAAATATTTTAAATTAATATGTGATACTTAAACATAAGATCCTCTTTTCCGAAGACTTAAGGACCCTCACCTTTTTATTTAACTAATAAATCTGAAAAAATTCTCCTGAAATTTGATTTAATTGTCCGAATTATTATTATTTAATATATTACCAGTAATCACAATTTGTTTTACCGGTTATATTAAAATTTACTGTACCACCCAGTATCATTGTGAAATATAGATATTTTTTCATCTTGTCCTTGAAAATAATTGGAAAAAAAAAATAAACACAATTAATTAATATTCCACACCAAACAAAATATATGGTTATGAATCATACACTACTCATACACGCAAATATTAAATTCATTCACTATCATAATTCTATACGAATACCACCATTTTAAATATTCACAGCAACAATCAACTTAACAGCTTATACACAAACTGATCTGATTAATCTGTGTGTAATTGAACAGTAAACCAGGATGACTCATGAGAAAATACGGATACATGATGCGAGTGACGTTCAGTTCTGCGAAAAAGATGTAAACAATGATAGAACAGTCCTTTCCGAGAATTTCTATTGTGCCAGGTACCTGAACTGTACAAATGAGAGACCAACACAAGGACAGAGTTTAAACTACATTAACGTTCCGTGTGGATATCATACATCATACGTGACTAAAAGCATAATTATTTGCAGTTACCATATCGTAAACGAGATGAAGGGAGACATTCAACTTGAAAACGATCTTAAAATTGATCACAACTTTTCGATCACTTTTTACGACATAGCACTAGCATAAGTGTTTCCAACAAGTAGTTCACCAAACGAAAGTAGGTCTTTATAACAATATAAACAAAGATACATTTTTATAGATTTGCTTATGGTCGAATGCTAGAATTTTTAATAGATATCAAATTCTGAGGGATGAGATTGATACACTGTGACTGCCACAAAAACAAATTTTATAAAATGTGTTTTCTTTAGTCTTGTTTTCCTTATGGAGAAATAATATACATGTAATTTATTGTGAGACAATGAAACCTAGACTTGTAGTGCATCTTGTGTGTATGTTTGTCATATGATATGATTGCCATTTTAAAGAGTGATTTAGTTCACTGTTTGGCATCCTTGGCCTTATAGTGCTTAAAGTTGAATTAAACCAAAAAAATGGACAACACCAGGGCACATAGGTAACCCCCAGAACCTCTGGTTCTTGTATTTGATCTCCTCCCCACTCTCTAATAATATGTTTGCTGGTGACATTAAAATCGAGGGAAAACATATCACCACCATCATAATTTAAACTAATCCAAATATGATGCAGATGAGATAGAAGTCACTGAGGACATTCACCGGCAAAATCAACTCTTGGAATTAGAATTCTGCTGTAATGTACATCAAAGCAAACAATTTGTTACGATGCACTGACATTGCAAAAAGTTGCCATTAATGCTGAAACCTTGCATTACCAGCCGAAGGTAACTTTCGTTTGAATGGATTTCCAGGTACTAGATTCAATTATCATAGAATTAGTGTAATATATCTGTATTACGGACTGTGATGCAAGTAAGGCTTGAAGAAACCCCACGTGTGACCTAATTTCTTTTAATTTAAATATTGTTTCTAGGTATATAAAGCCCGCATAGGATATAAACACAGCCACAATTTGAATAAATGCAAATGGCTCCATCTGAGTGTCCCTCCAATAAAGAGGTTTGGAAAGAGAACTATATCAGACAACAATTCTGAAATTATTAAATAAATTGTCCTAAAATATGAGTATCAAAGTTTATGTTACATAGCCCTGGATTACAGTACCTAGACCTTTCTATAAAATGTGGAATCCCTCAGTGTCTGAAGATGAGTGCCTATTGAGAACATAATTATTTTCATTGTTTGGTTCTTGGGTATTACTGTACAATTATACGACCCATTTTAGTGTTTAGGAAGGATGGGCTTACACCCAAGGGACAATACTCGTTTCATATTCCATTACTGGTACTCTGTATTTTTTTTAACAATGTTAATTATTATTATAGGCAGAACTACAACACTTACATACTGTAGTTGGATATTAATGTAAAATATGGTGCATTTTTGAAACATATCAACCCTCCAGCTATAACATGACAGCCTGTGATGGGAATTGAAACAGGGACCAAAAGGTGTCCACAGTTCAGTGCAAA